CAGAAACCCTATCAGTGGACATTCACGAAAGACCAACGGCCGAAAGACCAGACAGGGAGCCATCTCCAGTATCACCCGCTATTTTTGAAATGAGTAAAAAAATGGAAGCATCAAGAAAACTTTGGGATAGCGGAATCGCTATCGGGCGCTCAAGCAATCATGGGGGTGCGTGGGAGGAGACCTTGCGCACTCCAGCAAGCGTTGGTTCTTCAATTGTGGGCATGTCAGTCGTAGAGTCAGCCGAGTCGAGGTTAAGTGATGACCAAGTCGCAGTTAAGAAACCACAAGTTGAATTGGAAGCTAATACTAGTAAGAACGACTCAAAGTCACCTGATGGTTTAAACTTCGCAAAGAAATCAGGATCTGGAGAACAGCAAAATGTCTGTAAGGTTAAGCCCCAGCAGCAGCAACAGCAGCCCGTGAAAACACAACAGTCATCATCTATTGTCTCTCAGCCTGCGGAAGAGAACCACCAAACAGAATTAAATACAGTTTCTTTAGTTCCCCCTTTACTCTCACAAGAACTATTGACTCAACAAGCAATGCAACACCGCTACGCAATTCCTCTTGTCGGTGCCTTCGTGGATGCGCCTCAGAGACAGCCATTCCTGCAGCAACAGCAGCTTCAGCAGCTTCAACAAACTAATCAACAGGTGACACCTACCTTTTCCCTTACACATGTGCAGCAGGTCAATCAGGCACGTTCATCTTCTTCGCCGTTGTCCCAGGCTACTCAGGACATGTATCAGTCGCCATTCCTCCCTGGCGGTGTTTATTCAACAGGAAATTTCCAGGGTTCGCAGCCGTATGTATCTATTGGCCTGTTACCCTCTACTGCAACTCAGTCATTTGTGACCTCTTCTCCGAGGACCCAGACAACGTCTCTGATTGGAATTCAGGCTCAACAGCCAAAGCCTGGAACTGGATCCGTCTTTGCCCAGAATGTCACTCAGCAAGGCACGCAGACCATGTTTATGCAGTACGATCCGAAAACGTTGCGAGGAGGAACTCCTTTGTTCAATATAGCTCAGCATCCCCAGTCTGCCCAGAGACAGCTGTTAGGAACTCAGCCGGGGGTCGTTGGAGAAAATTTGTCACGACAGAGTGGCTTTCCAGCAGGACAACCGACACCTCAACCATTCCAAGGAACGTACCCTTTTCAGCAGAAACAAGGGACATACGATGTCTCACAGGATATGCAAATGAAGAAAACAGCTGAACAAAGTACAGATTTCACGCGGCAATCAGAGCTAGTCAAACACGTAAACGCAAAACCTTTTGAACCTCCAAAGAGATCAACCCCTGGTTCTGTGCCACCCAGCAGTGCTTCAATAGGTCCTTTGATGTCATCAACATTTGCCCGAAATCCGAACTTGATGACAATCACTCCGAACCCTACAGACATAGGGGGATCATCTCAGAGTCCTCCTGTGTCAACAACGTTGTTGTCGGGAAGGCAGGTGTCCATGTCACCCGTTGAACCAGGTATCCCCTTCCATGGTGCCGTCGGAACTTTTCCGAAGCACACTATAAACCAGTTTCAGTTACAACAGCAGCCTCAAGGTGTACAGCCTCAGCAGTTCACGCCATTCCAACAACAGCCCGTCAGTTTGCAGCAGACTATTCAGGTTAGAGCACAAGGCCAGCAACAGCAGCAAGGCGGAAATCCGTTACAAGGTGCTGGAACTGCCATCCTGCCAAACCCTGCTGTCATAGCTGCAGCCATGCCAAGGCAACTTATTCGGGCTCCAAGCCTTGGTCCTATAGGCATAGGTGGAGCACAGCCAAGTGCTACGAACACTCAGCGCTTCCCTGCTCCGATCCAGCGCCCTGTGACAGCGTCTTTAATGCATGGTGTGCCTCACATACAAGCTCCGCGAGGACCCCGGGCGCAAACTGCACCGCCGCCACCACCTCAAATGATGTCTGCAAAGCAACAGATTGTGACAAATAGACCTCATTTGCCCCCACAATCTTTACCTCACCCGGAAGCAGTGGCGGCTGCCTTTAAGATAGAACAGCATCACAAGATGTTGGAACAAACCAAAATGTTCTTTGCTCAACAACAAGGACCACAGCAACGAGTCCCTTTGCTGAGCAATCAAGTTGATCCGCAAGTTAAACCTATCGGCAGTTTTCAAGGAGACAAACCAATTGTGAAGGGACAAGTACCCAGAGAAAATCTAAAATTTCAAGAGAAAAAGGAAGAGGCGAAGTCCCATATTTCGGAAACCAACCAAAGAAACAGAAAACCCAATTTAGAGCAGCCTAGCAAGACGTCAAAGACAACCAAAGTAGATTCAAAGCCAGAAGAAAGCAGCAAAGACAAAACTAACACGTCAAAACAGGATGGTAAAGGCCCGGGTAACAAGAGCAGCAGCCTCGTTCGTATTCCGCCCCTACCTATGGCACCCAGAAACGTGCCGAAGAGGGCCCGTGCCCCCCCACGAATGCCAGGTTCTCAGCCAGTTTCCAAACCAAGAATCTCTGGACGTTCAGAGAAAGAAATCAAAGATACAGTTCAGGACCAGCCTTCTGAAACTCCAAGCCGCAAGAGTTCAGATCAGGCTAAACCATCCGAGGCACAACCCGTGGCCCCACTAAGCGTCAACAAGTAACTAATTTGAACTTTTAAAATACCGAATTTCCGGTGATTTTATTTGTCTGTCCACAAAAACTTACTTTTGTGGTGCCAACCACAAACTAGGGAGAAAGTATACTATCATACGCATGATTTTTCATTTCAAGTGTATGTAGTCTTAGTGTCGCGAAAAGTTTTCCAGTCGGAAATGCTTTCCTTGTCATTTATTCGTAATTATTATTCCTTTCATTGCCGCAACACTGTAAATTAGTCCCAGGAATGTTTGTACAGAGGTTTGCGACGAGTTAATTTATTATTGTTAGGCTTCTTTGCGTAAAGGAGGTGAGATAATTCACCACTGAAGTTTCAGCATTTTTGTGATAATCATAAGAATAAAACAATTCAAGGAGGTACTACTGTGGCATGGTTGATGCGTATGTACTAAGGTGTTCGGTTTCGTTTGTTTGTGCTTTTGTAAAGCCTGAACATTCAAGCTAAAGGCCAAAGAAATTCGGCAATAGCTAAATGACAAACTGTGACAATTAGCACACAACGACCTATTTACAAAACAAAGAGATTATCTGCTGCCATTCGTAAGGTTCTTTTCAAAAGTCTAGAGGATAACCCAACGTTTTAGAATACAGGTAGAGCTCAAAATAAGGGAATCTGCTTTTGAGATCAGGAAGAAATCTGGGGTTACACCGGTTTTGTCTTACTGTGCCCTCTGATGTGCACGGGAACTCGCCCCACCACCTCTCAAATGCGAAACTTAAATGAATCGCGACTTTGTCATTCACTTTTCTCGCGCCTGAGTGTAACTTCTTTTTTATGCCGTGAGTCTTTATCGGTGCCTTGCCATACCTAAGGGTTATTGATCTATGAGAGTGCCGGTATCCCAGCGGATATGGGGGGGCCCCCCGGTTCAAATCCACTAGCGGATTTGGACCCCCCTCTGCGAATTTGGACCCCCCAACAAAACTTAGTGAAAACATCATCCTCAACGTTCTAGTAAGAATGGATGATACTTTACGTTCCAGTGCGTACTGAAGTATGTTTTTAATTCAAAACATGCGTATCGTTAATGCGTACGAACTGGCATCCTGTCGGATGTTTATTTGGACCAAGGGAAATGGGTAAGAATTTAGTTTAATGCCTGGAGAGAGGTCGTTTTGAACCTTTTCCGCGATAGTCGAACACCGCTAGATTCAATAAGAGACAAACTTGTGACACCAATTTATTTTGTCATTGTTCAATGCTCGAGTGTTGGGACGACATGGTACAGTGCGAGTTGTGCGGGGAAAGGTTACATATGAGCTGCGAGGGATTTAAGACTGCCCCGGAGGACGAGTGGCTCTGCATTGTCTGCAGATTGCCAGACTCTAGACGTCTTCGTAATTGTTTAAGTGTTATTTCGGTCCCTCAACAGTTAACAATCGTTAAAATTAGAAAATAAGATTGAGTTCGATATAATAGTCTCCACTTTTGTTAAGACGTTGACAGTAATGTTGATTTGCATCTGAAAATAAGCTGAGAGTTCCAATAGTTCAGAAAAGAAACATTTTTACTTATCATAGGCTTTACGAACGACTTGCAATACGAGTAGTTTCTTCGTTATTGTTCAAAAACTGTTTAATGTTATTATTTTAGAAAATCAGACTGAGTTATTTCTGTGACTGGACGCAATAGTCTCCACTATTGTTATGACGTTTCGTACCAATGTTGATTTGCATCAGAAGAAGCAAAGATTTATTGCAACAATTTCAATAGTTCGAATGCAGTAGTTTGTTCACATCTAATTCTTGCGTATACTGTATGACTCGCTATAATTAATGCGGTAGAATTGGAACGAAATGGCTGGTTTTTTTTACCTTTATTGAGGAAATGTTGTGTTGTGATTGAAAAGAACATCGGCAAAAAAGCTTGCAAATAGAATTAGTTACCAAATATGATACAAAGGATGCTTAAAAGGAAAGTTTGGACCGGGGGGGTCCAAATCCGCTGTGACACCGGTCTTCAATTAAAAGGAAAAGGAAATTTAAAACCAAACGCTTGCATGCACTTGTGATATGGATTTTTCCTCTATTTGAGAATTGGAAGGTGATGTCGACATTTTTATATTTTAATGTAATTCTGTTCATATGTTTGTACCTTGGACATATTTACTTACGACTGCGGTAACGAAAAAAGAAAATGAAAAGTAAGAACTAAAAAAGGACGAAAAATCGACCACGATGGGAGTCGAACCCACAATCTTCCGATCCGAAGTCGGACGCCTTATCCATTAGGCCACGCGGCCACCTACGAATTGAATAAGTGATAAATACTTATTTATTTATCAGCAAGTTTGATGGTCAGCGGTAGTTTTTAATATCGTCCACCTCAAATTTATTTCAATTACGTTACTTTTAGCCTCTGATGA